ACGAGAGGCCAAGAAACAACATTCCAGTCGTGAGCTGAGCTCAAGGAGGGCTAGCTCGAGCACCATCCTGCGGCGGGGAAAGGAGGCGGTGAAAGCGGTTCAGCCGAGCCCACAACAGCCAAAAATCTTCTGTCCCTGTCTGGGGGGGGGGGGGGGGTGCTGTTCAACCCTAGCACATGGGCGAGAAGCCGTGCATGTGTGACGAGTGCGGCAACACATTTTCTCGCGCTCGGCCTACAAGTATATATATATTTTTTCTTTTCTGCTTGTGTGTTAATCTGTGTTTACCTCGGATATTTTAGACATGGCAATTCTCCTGCTGTGTATCCTACTGCTGTACCTCCCAGTCATATCTAGTGCCACACTCAACTCTACAAACAGCTACCCTCGTTACTTTGCGTCCATACTTGTTGCTCGATTTGCCACTTCACATGCTAATGAAACAGCTCATAGACACTTCTACACTCCATCATTGTATCCTTTTAAACACTATCTTTGTCTAATTACTTCACCAGCACTCCTTACAAACTTCATTCTGCTCTTAAAAATAACACCATCTGTGAGCTACTGCTATTCGTCCAAGGTTCGCCGCTCTTCATCCTTTCACAGAAAATACTTGAGCAAACTATTAATTCTACTTTTCTTATTTCTGGGTGGTATTGAGCTTCATCCTGGCCCAAATGTAAAGAACTCGTATAATTCTATAGATTTTTCTGGCAGGAAAGGTGTTGGTGTTCTACATGTCAACATCAGAGGGCTTGTGATTAAATTAAGTCAACTAAAACTAGAAGTGGCAAATCTTGACCCAGACATTTTTTGCCTAACAGAAACATTTCTCACTCCTGCCGTCAATGACTTGCAGATTACGATTGACAACTACAACCTTTTTCGGCTTGACCGAGGATCTAAAGGAGGTGGAATTGTCATCTATGTTCGTAATACTATTGCATGTTCACTAGCTCACTCCTTGTTTAAAAAATGTTGCTTTGAAGGTCTGGCTCTCAGAATAACTCTCACAAATCAACAGATATTGGTAGTGTGCTGCTATAGACCGCCTAGTGGGAAGGATGTTGAAGCTGCATCTGCACTGAGAGAGCTTTTTGGGGGCCTCCCTAAAGGTGAAATAGTTTTAGTGGGTGATCTAAATTGGAATTGGCTAAACTCGCCGGCCATGGCCACAAATTTTGCAGATGAATTTAACCTGTTTCAATTAATAAATGTCCCCACAAGACCCAACCTAAAAAAATCCGGGACAGTCATCTCTGCTTGATGTCCTATTGACAAATGCCCCTCACAATTTCACACTGACTGGTGTTCTGGGTGATTACTCCTTCATTTTTGGGGTGAGATCATCAGCCAGACCCAAAGCCCCCCCTAAATTGGTTGAGAAGCACTCTAGGAGACACTTCAGCACTCAGGCATTTACTAATGATGTGCTTCACTCGAATATTGACAAGGTCTGTGATATCCCCAACCTGACTACGGCTTGGGAGGCCTTCAGGTACATGTTTCTCCAAATTCTTAACAAACATGCTCCGTTGGTTAGATTTAAAACTAAAGGCCCACCATGGTTTGACCTTTTGATTACAAAGCTCATGAAAACTAGGGACAAGGCTTGGGCATGTGCTCAGAAAAGTAATTTGGTCGATGACTGGCTAGAATACAGGATTTTAAGGAATAAATGCGTCAAAAAAATACGGCATGCAAAAAATGCCTACTTTTCCTCCACTCTCCTGGAATCACATGGAAATGCCAGGATTTTCTGGAAAACAATCAAATGTATCGAAAAGGCATCCAAAACAGACAATCTGCCCGTTGAGCTTAACCGAAATGGGGTATATTTTTCAGATCCCCAAAAAATAGTTGACAATTTTAACCTTCATTTTTCTGAAGCTGGTAATCTTTTTGATAATGTATTGGGAGTCACCCCTGCTCATGCAAATTCCTACACCCCTGTCCAAATATTAAACGAATTTAGTTTCCAGCCAATCCACGAAAGTAATGTTCTGAAACAACTGTCCTATCTCAAAGGGTCCTCTACCGGAGCAGATAGTATTCCTGTCTTTGCTCTACTAACTGTTGGTCACCTAATATACAAACCTATAGCCCATATTTTCAACCTGTCCATCAAATAAGCATCAGTTCCTCTAGAATGGAAACATTCCTATGTCCGTCCACTTCACAAAGGGGGCCCTAAAGATGATCCAAATAACTACCGACCTAAATTTTGATTTATGAACTACCGACCTATCTCAATTTTGTCCCCGTTGATGACATTTTTTTAAAAATGATTGAACTACCAAATTAGCAGTTTCCTGTCCACCAACAATCTACTACATCTAAAACAATATGGGTTCCGAAAAATATACAGCACCACATCTGCTGCATTAGACTCTCTGAATCACATTTACAGTAGCCTTGATAATAAGCAGTACTGTGCCTGTCTTTTTCTTGACCTTTCCAAAGCTTTTGATACAGTAGACCACAACGCCCTGCTTAGTAAACTAGGTTGCCTCGGTTTTTCTGAAACGCAGTAAAATGGTTACAAAATTACCTCTTTTCTCGCACCCAAACTGTATTCACAGATGGTTGGAGGTCAAACAGTTTTAAGATAACAAGGGGTTCCACAGGGTTCCATCCTCCGCCCCCTTTTCTCTCTTTATGTCAATGACTTTGGCACTGACCTGGATCATTCCAGGGTAAATCTTTTTGAAGATGACACGATACTGATTACTGCTGGCTGCTCTCCGGATGACGTGATTGCTAAGCTACAGGGTAATTTCAACAAACTACAACATCAGCTAGTTGTTCTTAAACTAGTCCTGAATACCTTCAAAACCAAGGTGCTACGCTTCTCACCAGGACTAAAGCAGGAAGTTATTTTTCCCCAATTCCATTCCTTAAATAATTATCAAATAGAGCAAGTCAAGATCTATAAGTATTTTGGGGTCATCCTGGATTCAAACTGAATTTTGAAGATCACATTGATTATATTGGTAAAAAGACGAAAATAAAAATTGGTTTTCTGTATCAACACAAGCACTGCTTCCCCCCTATGTTCCGTTTGGAATTGATAAAAGCTACCATACCGCCTCTACTTGACTACTGTGACATCGTGTATAAATCAGCCCCAAGTACTGTACTGAAGAAGCTTGATTCCATCTATCGGCCTTAAGATTTACATTGAACTGCCCATATAGGACTCACCACTGTGATCTCTACATTGGGTCAAACTTAACATCTCTTAATGTTCGACGGCTTGTGCACCAGATATTATTTATTCACGATGTACTTACAAAAAAATCCGCAGACTACCTGCTGGATCTCCTCTCTGTTTCAAAGAACAAATTTGACCTCAGGTCTTCGCTCATTTACCAGCTTCACATTCCCTATTGCCGTACAAAAAGAGGAGGAAGGGCCTTTGCTATTGATGCCCCCAGGGTCTGGAATGCTATTGCCAATAAACTGTAACTTGAATCATTACCAATGAGATCTTCTCTCAAAACTGCTCTAGAGGAGTTGTACACCCCTAGCTGCCACTGCTATTCATTGGCGTAAAATAAAATAAACTGTTTCGCTCCGGATGACGCCGCAAAGTATTATCTGTATTTGGATTTAGCGTGCTGATCTTAAAGGTGCATTGAAAAATTTGATACTCCGACTGATGCCTCTGTTGTTGTGGAGTAACTCATGCAGCCAGCTATGGCTCTAGGGTTTGGTGTTACATGTTATTTATGTAGTTTATTGTAAAAAAAATTCGGTCACAGTTCCTATGATCACTGTTACATTGCAATTATGGCTTTATTTTTTGGTGATTTCGAAAACGGTTTTTGGTTTGGACATGTTTGTTTTGTTGTAGTACGGAGTTAGACTGATGGCCTTAATTTAAGTTTTCTTGTGGTTGTTGTTGTTTGACTTACATCCCACTGGGATTTTTGCACATAGCGTTGGTGTACGGTGCTTTTACAGGAATATTTAGCTGTTTTTTTCATGGATGTTCTGTTTGCACAGTCACGTAGCCGAATGGTTCACAGGGCTATACGAAATAAATAAACTGAAAAAAAAAAATCTCAAATCAAGAAAATTAATTAAATAATGGAGTGCGTGCTTTGGTACATGCATAGTATATATGCTTTGGTACATGCATAGTATATATGCTTTGGTGCATAGTATATACGCTTTGGTACATGTATAGTATATATGCTTTGGTACATGCATAGTATATATGCTTTGGTACATGCATGGTATATGCTTTGGTACATGTATAGTATATATGCTTTGGTACATGCATAGTATATATGCTTTGATACATGCATAGTATATATGCTTTGGTACATACATAGTATATATGCTTTGGTACATGCATAGTATATATGCTTTGGTACATGCATGGTATATATGCTTTGGTACATGTATAGTATATATGCTTTGGTACATGTATAGTATATATGCTTTGGTACATGTATAGTATATATAAAACATACATTCATAAAACGGGAAAATCAATTATAGGGTGTGGTAGAAGCGTCCATACCTATCCTGATAAAGAGAACGTGCATGTATACATACACAGGCAACACCAATTTCTTGAAACAAGGTCACTCAAAACACATCCATTTTAAGGTAAAACGACTTTCAGTGAAGAAAAAAATGAACTCACGAGGTTCATTTTCAAAGTGGTGCCCCCCCCCCCCCCCGCTGGGCTGAACACATTTTGTGCTTTTCTGCATAACCCCCCCTCCTCCTCTTCTTCAAAATTGAATTATAACAACAACGCCCTCCCACCTTCGGCAAATGAGCCTACACGCGTGTGAGGGTTAAGTGCAGTTTATTTTTAGATCCGAGCTTGCGGCTGCAGCCAATCTGAGGACAAATTATTTTGTAGCCCAGCGAATGTTTCACTGCTGGTTTATGCAGCTTGAACGATCCCGGCAGAACGACTGGAAAAATAACCGCCCCGTTGCACCGCACGCGTTCCACTCCTTCGTGGAAATCCTTACCTGCATTTTTCGTGGACATGTACATCATTTTCTTCTTCTTTTTCCCACCCAGGACGCCACAGAAACCTCCTGCAACAATAAACAAAAAACCGCACCGTTGCGTGCAACGGTTGTAAGCGTGCTGCCAGTCTCACACCTACATCAATTTATTACGGGTTTCATTGAACCCACAGACACGGTACTCTGCTCTGAAAATAATGCCTCAAATGTGTTTGATGTTAATCTCGCATCAGAAAGGTAAGGGGTGGGGGGCATTCGGGTTAGATTGCTTGACTCACAAAAGTAAGGATGCTCGTTACAATCCCATTTGAGCGTCAAGTCATTGTGCCTTAGTCGATATAATAGGTAACTCTTTTTAAAGGTCAGCATTGGTCATCCTATGGAGAGACTGGTCTCCAGTATCGAGTAGTGACACAGCCCAGAAGTCGCACCAAATATGAAAAATGGACTTGCAAATGATTATATTGGGAAACACAAAGCACATCATCACCCCACAAATAAAAAAAACTAGCAGGCCCCTGCCGAAAATAGTCTCCAGACTCGGTATTTCTTTCCTGTATAAACATAATAACAATAATTGAACAGACATATTGATTTTCAACCCTCTAGCTTAGGACCACTCATGGCGATGACTACCTGCTGAAAATTCATCTGAGCAAGGAGACATTTTGGCTTTTATCTTTGAGCTACGTAATTTTTTTTAGTTTGGTTTGTAAAAATATAATGATATTGAGCCGTTGTTTTTTTACACAAGGATGCTCTCATTTCCAAGCCCAACTTGAATTATTTAAACTCTTCACCAGACACAACCTCAATCAAAACCTCTGGCTAAATCAATAGCCCAGCAATCCGCCTACAACATTCTGTCCTTAAGAGATTGTGATGTAACTGTAGAAATCGACTGAATGCTTTACGCTGTCCCTTTATTGTGTTAGCATGCTGAAATTACTATGTGCATCAAATATAACAGAGTACAATGACTTTTTTAAAGCGCAATTTTAATTAAAATGCACACTAAATTTTGATTTAAAGCTTTTGTAACTGCAGGGATTCATATTCTTGGTTCTTTCGGTAAAGTCACGTAGAAGGGAAACAAAATATAAAACAATAAAATTCTCACGACGTTTCGACTGCAACACAAGCAATCATCATCAGATGTGAAAACCACAGCAAGAAAATTGAAAAAAGTGGCGTTTTTTTAACGTTAGCACCATGGAGAGCGATTTGGCAGTTATTCAGATGGATGAGTCCATCTATGTTCGGAAAAGATGGGGGAGACGAAAATAATGGATGCGGTCTGAAAGCCACCGTAAGCATGAACAATCAATTAAAACTCGAAATGGTTTATCAAATCCTTCTAATGATTGCTAAGCCAGAATCCATCTTCTCGATTGAAATTGTCTCTGTGTTTGTATATGTGGATAGCCTCATGAACGAATCTCTCATGGTAGCCAGATGGCTTGCAGAGAACCTCTGTCTTGGAGAAGGCAATGTCATGTGAGCCTACTGAATTATAACAGTGATCTGCCACGGCCGAGGTGTTCGTCCTACAGTGTTTCAAGTCTGCTTTGTGTTCACGGATGCGGTCCGAGACATGTCGTTTGGTTTCTTCAATGTAACTACTACCACAGAGGCAACTTAGTTTGTAGACACCAGGGTACTGTATGTCCGGAATCACATCTTTTACAGACGGAACCAGATCACGGATTTTATGTAATGTGTTGAATCGGACCTGGGTCTTGTGTTTATTCAAGATTTTGGAGATATTTTTTGTGATCCCCGCAATGTAGGGTAAAGTGATGGTTTTGAATGGCTCCTCAAGAGGGTCCTTCTTTATGGTTGGAGTGATAGCTTTGCGGATTGTGTAGTCGGAGTAATCATTAGCCTTAAGAGCTTGGTGTACGTGCTTGAGTTCACTGGCTATGTGTTCCTGGTCGGATATGCATTGGGCTGTATGGTGCAGTGTCTTGATGAGGGAATTCTTCTGGGATGGATGGTGGTGGGAATCCGGTTTCAGGTAAGCATCCGTATGGGTAGCTTTCCTGTAGACAGAGTGGCTCATTGAACCATCAGGTCTCTTTTTTATTAGGACATCCAAAAAAGATAGCTTGCCATCTTTCTCGACTTCCATGGTAAATCTGATGGCTGGGTGTATGGAATTGATGTGGTCGAGGAATTGGTCTAGAGCAGGCCGGCCATGTGGCCAGATGACAAAAGTGTCATCCACGTACCTCTTCCATAAGGTTGGGCGCAGAGTGGCAGTCTGGATGGCGTCAGTCTCAAATTTCTCCATGAAAATGTTGGCTACAACCGGAGATAGGGGGGAGCCCATTGGGGAGCCCTCAGTTTGTTTGTAGAAAGTTACATTCCAAGTGAAGTATGTATTGGTTAAGCAATGTCTCACCAGGGGGGATAGAAGGGAAACAATAAAATAATAAAAATATAAAATGCACACACTTATACACACAATTGCACTCACGTGTAGATGCACATGGGGAATATTTTCAGCATTATCGGCAATTGCTAAATTAAATTACCATTCTAAAATTGTTTCTTAAATGCACATTGGGGTAGATGCTTCTCTGATGATTTGAAAGCAGGGAAAACGCCTTTCCATAACCTTCCAGAAGGAAAAGGCTAGTTTATTGATGAGGATATCGTGTGTGTCCATGCACTTTTTTTTCATGGATTTTCTGTTTCAGAATCAGAAAGAATCAGAATCAGAAAGTGTTTTATTCGCCTTGAAAGTTCGCACAGACAAGGAATTTACTTTGGCAGGAAGGTGCATACATTCAACATATAGGGATCTTAAATCTTAATATAAAGTAGCTATGAGATACAATCTAAAAATAAAAATATATAAATAGGGTATCAGTGTAAATATGGCAAGGTGTCATTTTGTAGATACAATGTTAAAGTCAGTGTAAGCCCTTGGCCTTGTTGAAGAGGCCAGCAGCGGATGGGAAGAAACTGTTTTTGTGGCGTGAGGTTTTAATCTTGATGGACCGCAGCCTTCTGCAGGAGGGGAGTACCTGGAACAGAGAGTGTCCAGGGTGGGAGGAATCGTCCACAATCTTTCTCACTCGCCTTTTGGTCCTCGAGGTGTGCAGGTCCTTGAGGGTTGGTAGATTGCAGGCAATCACCTTCTCAGCAGTGTGGATGATACGCTGCAGTCTGCTCTTGTCCTTGGCAGTGGCAGCAGCATACCAGACGGTTATGGAGGAGGTGAGGATGGATTCAATGATTGCTGTATAGAAGTGCACCATCATTGTCTTTGGCAGGTTGAATTTCTTCAGCTGCCGTAGGAAATACATCCTCTGTTGAGCTCTCTTGGTGAGGGAGCTGATGTTCATTTCCCACTTGAGGTCCCGGGAGAGAATAGTGCCCAGGAAGTGGAAGGACTCCACAGTTTTGACTGGGGAGTCACACAGGGTGGTGGGGGTGAGTGGGGCTGTATTCTTCCTGAAGTCCACAACCATCTCAACTGTCTTTATAGCATTTAGCTCTAAGTTGTTCTGGCTACACCAGGTTACCAGGTTGTAAGCTTCCCACCTATAGTCAGACTCATCCCCACCAGAGATCAGCCCAATGAGGGTGGTGTCGTCCGCAAACTTCAAGAGTTTGATGGACAGATGATTGGAGGTGCAGCTGTTGGTGTACAGGGAGAAGAGCAGTGGGGAAAGGATGCAGCCCTGAGGAGTTCCGGTGCTGATGGACCTGGAGTCAGAGACTTGTGTTCCCAGCTTAATGCACTGCTTCCTGTCAGACAGGAAGTCTGTGATCCACCTGTAGGTGGAGTCGGGCACATTCAGCTGGAAGAGTGTGTCCTGAAGCAGGGCAGGGATGATGGTGTTGAAGGCAGAGCTGAAGTCCACAAACATGATCCTGGCGTAGGATGCTGGGGAGGCCAGATGCTGTAGGGTGAAGTGGAGGGCCATGTTAACTGCGTCGTCCATAGACCTGTTGGCTCTGTAGGCAAACTGAAGGGGGTCCAGGAGAGGGTCTGTGATGGCTTTGAGGTTTGCCAGGACCAGGCGCTCAAAAGACTTCGTTACCACAGAGGTAAGGGCGACCGGTCTATAATCATTTAGTTCTGTTGGCCTTAGCTTTTTGGGCACAGGGATGATGGTGGAAGACTTGAGACAGGCTGGTACATGGCATATCTCCAGGGAGGTGTTAAAGATTTTGGTGAACACCGAAGACAGCTGGTCAGCACAGTGCCTGAGTGTGGCTGGAGAGACAGAGTCTGGCCCAGCTGCTTTGCGTGGGTTCTGCCTCTTGAAAAGTCTATTAACTTCTCCCTCCTGAAAGGAGAGAGTCGTCTCTGTAGTAGGGGTGGGGGATGGGGCCTCTTGGGTGGGAAGGGGTAGTTCAGGACAGTCCAATTGGCTTTCAAATCTACAGTAGAACTCGTTCAGGTCGTTGGCCAGGTGGGAGTCGTTAGTGGTGTGGGGGGCTCTGGGTTTGTAGTTGGTGATCTGCCTGAGCCCTTTCCAGACAGAAGCAGAGTCGTTAGCAGAGAACTGGTGTTTTAGTCTCTCTGAGTACAGTCGTTTAGCCTCTCTCACCGCCTTGCTAAACCTGTTCTTCGACCCCTTGAATCTGTCTCTATCCCCACTCTTAAACGCTTCCTCCATCTCCAAACTCAACCTTCTAAGCTTTGCTGAGAACCAGGGCTTGTGGTTGTTGAAGTTCACCCTGGTACGTGTTGGAATACAGCAGTCCTCACAGAAGCTGATGTACGACGTCACAGCCTCTGTGAGTTCATCCAGACTATTGGTAGCAGTTGTGAACATATCCCAGTCAGTACAGTCCAAGCATGCCCGCAAATCCTCCACAGCCTCACTCGTCCACTGTTTAGATGTCCTCACAGCAGGTTTACAGAGCTTTAGTTTCTGCCTGTAAGCAGGAATCAGGTGGACCATGGCATGGTCAGAGTGTCCCAGTGCTGCTCGGGGGATGGCGTGGTAGGCTCTACTGACCGTAGTGTAGCAGTGATCCAGAGTGTTCCCTTCTCTGGTAGGGCATTTAATGAATTGTATGTATTTGGGGAGTTCGTGGCTGAGATT